TTATTCAATTTTTTTTTGCGTTTTAATGGAAATTCCCATATGTTCACAGGCTCTGACTTTTAAATAGCGTTTGGTTTTGCCAATATAGGAGGCCTTACAGTCTCCACAAGCCAAGAACAATAAGGAATGGGGAGGGGATCTTTAGTAGGGAAGAAATTTTTTATACGTGATGTGGATTTAAAAACTAATCTTAAATCCACTTGAGGGTAGTAACGACCAAGTATGCGTTTAAGTTGATTTTTTAAATTTATACTTTGTTTGCCAGTATAAGGAAGACACGAGTATATAGTAAATTTAGGTACAGTTGGTATCTTAATTGGATTTGTGAGTTTCTTTGTTAGGAAGGTGTTGGTAATGTTTTCTAATAAGTGTTGTGGATAGCAGTTACGTTTCAGGATGTCATGTAAGAAAGAAATTTCAGAGTGTAGATTAAGATATGTGGAGCACAGGTTGTAAGCTGAGCTTCATTGCGATAAATCGAACTCTGGATTTTAGCACTGTAAACTTGTAAACTTACCGTTGATCTACTGGGGGACAGTTGTGGAAATAAAGTCCAATGAGGATCACATAGTTAAAATGTATTTAGGGTTTTGCTTAACTGAATAAAGAATATTTAATTTGTTGTACACTTTTGCATTGTTTTAAATTTTGGGCATAAGTGACTTGGACCAAAAACAAGCCCAATATATAACGAAAAGCGACGAAACAAAACTACAATCGATTGCGAGAATGCATAAGCCCAATCATGAGCTGGCAGCTCTGTTAATAACAGTATACTTGGCTTGGCTAATGACTGTAGGTAAACCATTGATTGAAGTATGTAACCCGTGAACGTGTAAGATGTCTGACTTTCTTTGTTTCTATAGAGTATTCAAGTTAGGTATTTCCATTGTTCTCTCTCTTGATTTCGCTCTAGTTAACCACAGAAACACAGAAAAAGAAGCCGGGCCAATTCAGGTGACATAAAAGTATAGAATATTGTGTTAAAACTACAGTTGTGTTTGCTTATTTTCATCGTTCAATTTATTCTTTGTACAATAATCCTGAACCTATATTTTGTGGACAATTTTGGCTTTTCTGTTTGACATCAGTGTGATACTCAAATACTACAGACTAGTTCAAAAAGAACAATCTGGTACATGGATCAAAGGGTCTGTTATTATTGGATTTGTTTTGAACATGCTTATTTTTCTTAACTATTTTTTGGCACAGTATAGTCCATAAATCGTGTTATCATGGAAGATAACTTTCTAAAACCAAGTAAAACTTAAGGAGAAGACAAGGAAGCGGTGATGGTAGTGAGAACTTAGTCTCAGATAATGGCAAGGTCTAGATAAGGAAGTCTTCAGGACTATCACCAGCTATGGCAAAAGAAATGTTGGTATTGTCGATCCGTTATCTGAACCAATAAGTTGAAGGGTACCTCACAGAACTTTACATGGATACATCCTGTATGAAGGAGCATAGGACAGTAGAGAAGGGTCAATGCCTGGGACACAGTTGTTAACGGATTGTGCCTCAGATTCGACCCTGTGGAGAACCAAACAACCTTGAAACATCGAAGGCAAAGCATCGCTTCAGCCACAGTTATTTTCCCAAAAGCACCGTGGGTGTAAGGAAAGGACCGCATGCGTCAACTATGGTATGCCTAATCACTATATGTGGGAATGTCTGTATCCTGTTGTCAGACAGAATCATTGAATGCACAAATCTTTCAGATCAACACCACAACAAATGCAGGAAGGTTGGCAACAAACAATGTATGTAATAGCACTTACTATTTAAAGTAGTAGAGCTTGAGTTGTATCTGGCAGCCATTTTGGGTTAGTGTAGCAGCCAATTTGCACTTAAAATCATGGTGACTGATCTGAAGAACTATGGACTAGGCGTAGCATGTTATGTACTAATATTGATACATAACATTATGCTGAGCTCTTAGTGGACTAGAGTAACCATAACTTTACTCGACCTCACTGCATATAAGTTGTTCATGTTAAGACATCATTTTGGCCAGTTAGTATGAACTTCATACTGGGAAATAGTGGAGAAGCGTATTCTGACTTTCTCTTGGCAACATTGTACACCAAGTACAGGCGATTGTCTCTAGTCTACTTCCAGACATTGATACTTTAGGAATGGATCTACTAAAGAAATTGTCAGTTAGTTTTGTTTATCTAACAGGAGAACTTCAGTTATCTAATAAAACCATCCAGTGATAACCAGAGTGATCCCAAAGAACAGTGGGTACTGTTGATGCATGTTGAAAAAGATGTAGTAGTTTTCCTTAATGCGAAAGTGGTATTCCTCTATGCAATGTGGATGCAGTTTCAGGCATTGCCACCTTCTACTGCAGTGATAAAACCAATGCATGCAGACACTGTATTCTGTCTAGAAAGTAGACAGCATTAACTTGAACAGAGTGATCTCTCCGTCAGCATGGTTGTTGTACCAATGCTAGTCTGTAACTAAGGGCATTCAGCTGGAATGGTCGTTGTCATTGTAATAGAGGCAGAGATGATGCATGCTGGACTTACTGCAGATTTGTAAGCCACTGTTGCTAAATTCAAGATTTAATACACAGCTTCCAGAGCACCCGAAATCTCTAGACTAGGGTTGTAAAAACAATCTGAATTTAACACAGATGCATGAACTCAGTAAATAGCTCAAGGAGTTTGTTGAAATACTTGTGGGACCAAGTGACCGATTACATTAGCAAACTGTCACAATTTATCACATAGCTATAGGTGATGTGCATCCAATTATACAATCACTGTGTAGGCTTCCTTGGAGTACTAGGAGTACAGCCAGCTCTGAAATTGAGTACATGTTGAATGACGTAGAAATACAACCTTTGGAGAATGTGGTGACTGCTTAAAAAATGAAGGTACATCAAGGTTTCTTTGTTGATTTCAAACAGGTGACACACATTGAAGGCTTTCCATAACGTGCACAGAATAATGTCTAGATGCATTGTAAGGTACTCACTGTGGGATCAAAACCCATCTCCAAACATACCTGCTCTTTCAGATGTGGAGCTATATAATGTGACGATCAATCGCACTATTCGTTGGTAAAGAGAAGTCCAAGAGTTGACGGGTCCTTGTGTGTGTGTGTGTTAAATATTTGCCTTTTCTCTAATCTATCACTTTTAAATTAGGGACGACTAGCGCAGATAGCCCTCGAGTAACTTTACGCGAAATTCAACAGATAGGTCAGAAATAAGTATGATTTGTACTAGGTGTTTTGGTATTGCCTCTGATATGTTAATTACGTTTTGTTGTAGTGTTAAAACATAATTCTGTGTGAAGTACATAAATGTGATCCTGGAATTATTTGTAAAATCAGACATGATTTTATTGATTGATAATGTTTTTAACTTTATTCAGAAGGTAGGGTGGAGTTGTGAACAAACAAGTTATGAAACCTTCAAGTTTAGAAGCAATGGTCACTGTGTGAAAATTAGTTGGCTTAATTTCTGTCACCAGTGTAAGGTGTCTTCTTATAGTTTTACCTCCAGACGTGAGGACAAATTTGTTCCAATCACTGTGATTGGATCAAAGAGCTCACAAAATAAGGCCATGAAGATGGAACCAAGGCCAAATGGAAGCTAGTGTTAAATATAATTATTTTTGAAGCGATGGTTTATCGCAGGTTTGTTTACATAACTGTGTACGAACCATACGTTGTATAGTTCAATTGTTGTGAATTGGCGCTTGTTGTATTATTGCGTCATATGATTAGAACCTTCTAAGTTTTTCTCGTTGTTTTGATTGAGTTTTATTACATCATAATATCTCGTATGGTTAGAAAGTTCTAGGTCTCGGTCAGGCTATAAATACGCGTACAAAATGTAGTTCGAGTTAGTCAGATATATAGCTAAATCTAAACTGCGCAATTGTGAGTTTAGACATAAAAGGTGTATAGTGGAGACTTTTCAAGTAAAATTACCACAAATTGGCTATATTTAAACCATCTAAACCATAACACTTGCATTAACGTAAACAGTCGTGTATGTCTAACGTTTATGTTCACGTACAATGTGCAGTTATTTATTTTAACAATAAGTAATTTATTCGACATCTATGAAGAGATCACTGAGTTAATAAATAAAGCTGTTAGCTGTTTTTTATTTATTTTAATGAAAAATATTAAATCACGGCCTAGATATCTTGTTCTTTATTCCTATTCGCATACAGCTGACCAATCAGAAGGCTCAGAAAGCTCTGACGTAATGTTACAATATATCCTATAATAAACCAGACGATCCTCCTTCCACGGTATTTTAAAAAAGTATTTCATCTTGCCAACAAATAACTTGGGAGAAAGTTGTGCTCATACAACAGGTAGGATCTCGGATTATTACTATTTTTTAGTTATAAAGATTTGAACTGTTATCTTACGACTGATGTATCTAAATGTCACATTTATTTCTATAAGCTTTATCTATTTTAAATTAGGCTCCTGTATCTCATCGTGTTTGGATCTTTCTTTGAAACAAGAAAGTGAAATAAAAGGGAAGTTCGCTGATGATTGAGAAAAACGTTCACACAACTAAGTACCGCTGAACAGGCCCAGCATGGCCAGGTGGTTAGGGCGCTCGACTCGCAATCTGCGGGTTCGAATCCCCGTCGCCCCAAACATGTTCGCCCTTTCAGCCATGGGGATGTTATAATGTCAATCCCACTATTCGTTGGTAAAAGAGTAGCCCAAGAGTTGGCGGTGGGTGGTGGTGACTAGCTACCTTCCCTCTAGTCGTACACTGCTAAATTAGGGACGGCTAGCGCAGATAGCCCTCATGCAGCTTTGCGCGAAATTCAAAACAAACAAACAAAACCTCTGAACAACATATCAGTCCACATGTAAGCTAAGCAAAACAACACTGCAAGATAAGTGAACATCAAAAATACAAAAGAAACGTGGAAAATTGTATTGTCCACAAAAAATAAATAAATAAATAAAAGAAAAACTGCAAGGTCTCCCAAATAAGTATTTTTCTTAGAGAAGAAACTTTAGTGATTAACATCAATTATAAATAAATGAAGAACAGTACATCGATTAAAACGATCTAACTGTAAAATGCTTTAGAACAAATACCATCCCAGATGTCGCTACTAAAAAGAGATCCTAAATTTTAAGGCTTATTTGCCTCTAAATAAACAGTACAAACTATTTCAATTTTTAAGTAGACATATTACCATATTATGTGATTACTACGATGAAATATTAAAAGAGTATTAGAAATTTGTTTGTTAACGAGTGCAAAGTTACATAATGAACTAACTGTGTTCTGCCAACCGTGAGTATCGAAACCCGATTTTTACCGTTGTAAATTCTTAAACTTACCCACTGGGGACAGCCCTAGAAGTAAAATAAAAACTATAATGAGGTATCGTTGTGGTACGCTATGACCAATTGAAATAATAACGAAAAATTTGTTCATACTTTTATTGAATCTTCAAATATATTTGTTTTCAACGACAATGAAAAAGTTACGATCTTACCCACACGTCAAAGAAAATTGAGAAGCCGAAAATACGTGGAAACTGAAACGAACTTTTAATCGAATATATCTTCTAAGGCTTTCGTGGTAATCACTCGATGGAGATTCTATAGTGAAACAGATATTCAAGAATAATAAATGGTGTGCTCTTTATTAGGGACGAAAATAGGGGGCGTATTATTCACACTTCACAGGAAATAAAATAATTTGTTGGTCTTTTTTAGCGAAAAGCTACACAGTAGGTTACTTGCGTTTGATTCACCGTCAGAATCGAACCCTGGATTTTAGCATTACAAGTTACCGTTGACCCACTGCGGAAAGAATAAGTTGAATTATACATATAGTTACATTAATTATCCGGAAGGCATCTTTGAAAACAAGTAAGTTAAAATGCCTGAAATACAGAATAGTGAATTTCTGTGTTTAAGAAGAAAATATTTTAGCTTTAGATGCCCTATAATATTAAATCGGTCATTATTTAAGTCAAATTATCATTAATGAAGAAATCCACATCTAATACATAAAAACCAACTTTATAAAAGAGATAAGAATAGTTACATAATTATATATTAACTAGGCGTTCGGTATTTCAACCTGAACGGTTCCTTATGCGATACATGGGCTAAACAGTAGTGTTAGAAACTCGTATGGTTCAGGTAAAGCCATCCAGTAATTAAGAACTGCTGACCTACTCATAACCGAATAGCGGGATTGACTGTCACAATTATAACACCTCGCAGTTAAAGTGCGGAGTGTGTTTGGCCTCCCCATCCACGGCCTGGCATGTTAACCACTAGCTCACGCCCGGCTCGTGTGAATGGAAAACATTTAAGAGTACAACGAGATAAAACATAACTTTAAAAGTTTTTAAGATGGCTAACTTGTAGGACTCAACTTTAGCCAATCGTAGTTATGTCTAACCTACAAACGTTGTTAATAATTTGCTATTCAATAAACGAAGACTTCCCAGGAAAATCAAGAGTTAAATATAATAAACAGATCTTCGCCACTTTCAGAACTGTATCGAAAATTTCATATAAGATAATGTTTCCTAATGATACTTGGTTTGTTTGTTTGTTTATAATTAGGCACAAAGCTACACAAGGGCTATCTGTGCTCTGCCAACCACGGGTATCGAAACCCGGATTCTAGCGTTGTAAGTCTGCAGACTTGGTCCTGGAAAAAGAGACGTACTCTCTGATCGCCTTTCAGACGCAAATAAACCACGAAAAGATAGCATTTAAATAATTCATAAAATCCAACCATACTTTACCGAACAATCTAAAGAAGTAAAACATTAAAAATTATAATGACCTTTTTTATTCGTTTTACAAATCCTATATGGACATTTTCCAAACACTATTATTTATACAACCAGAGCCATTTTGAAATGTGTTACTGCGTACTGAAAATGGTTTAATTAAAGTTAGATAGAATTAAACATTGATCCATTTCTGAATATGTTTTATGTTTTGAAAAAGTTGTTTTTACGCTTGTTCCGTATTATAACTGTTAAAGTAGAACACCACATGGTTAGATCATTTGTTTGACTGAAGTTATCTAGTTTATGCTGTGAATATGTGAGTATTCCTGTTGGCTTTAGAAACTTTCAAGTGACGTCTTCTAATCACGTCTAAAGTGGGGACCACTCCACAATTAACTAACTACGCAGAATAGGTGTAAGTGAGTGAAACAGTGAGGATGAATGATATATAAAAACATAGTTGTGGAAGAATAAATGCAAACAAATTATGGAGGAATCGGAAACTTTAGACTTAATTAGGTTTTAAAGAGTTATACAGTCGAGGCTGACGTAATCACCATAACCAAAATTTTATGTCACAATTTGTTACGTCTCTATGTTCGTTTGTTAATTTCCCGGAGAAATTCTTCCCGAGAAACTTCAGCGATACGAGCCCTTTCTTAAATAAAACTAGTTTATTATTTCTCAATACAACTTTGCAATACACTTAATTTCCACAGTTACTTTAACGTAAACATACGCTATAATTCACAACGAACGATTCACGCACTTTACTTATTACCACGCTTGACTCAATTGTCCGCCTTTATCTCTGCCTGTCTGCAATTCTATCCCGATTCATTGTCTGGCGCACTTATAAACAAGAATAGCGGGCGCCTAGCAAATACTAGATTATTCGTGATGTTCCCCGATCTTTCTAGAACTCATTACGTGTTACCAGCGTAACGTGACTTCCGCTGTCGTAACAAATATTTGATGAAAATGTTGATGTATTTAACTATTATTTTAAATTCCATTTTTTGGTGTTTTGTACCTTATTTATACTCATAATAACGTAGAAAAAGAAAGAAAAATACCGCTGAACTAAAATATCTTACGAAAATTTTACAAACTTATTAATAAAAAGAGACGACATTTTGAGCGGGGTGAAACCACGGTAGAAAAAAATCTACTCCTTGTAAGAACTTCAAACCTATAAACCCAATTATTGCATATTGTTACGAGAGCGGAGGTCACGTGACGCTAGTAACACGTCATATTCTCTAAGCTTCGTGAATCCTCTGGTGTTTTCTAGATGTACGGTATTCTTTTATATAAGACGGCCAATAAGTGAAGGTGAGGTAATGTAATTGAACTGCAGACAGACAGAGAGAGAGACGTATA